TATCTTTGCTGTTCATTTCCAGATGTACTGTACTATTTGTGGTGACGGTAAAGAAGTATTCATGTGTGACAATGAGGGATGTTTCAGGTAACAAGGATAGAATACCCTGTTCAATTTAACCATTCTAGCGTGTTACTTATTGCTCTCTTGTGTAACAGGTCTTATTGTGGACTGTGTATTGACATGTTGGCAGGACAAGGGACAGTTAGATCGGTAAGTGAAACAGAAATATTCTATAATATTATTCTTTAATTTTCTATGCTTTTTTATTCCTTAATATTCTATTTTTGAGTCATGCATTCTTTGTAGTCACGCGTCACGCCATCTGTTCTTCTTCACCGAAATACCCGTGTTACGCGAAAAGCAAAAAAACATTTGCCAAAAACATTAACTACTGAATGTTCCATTCAAGATAATGTCACAAGAGAAGTGGATCTGTTACATGTGTTCTGGGAAAACTAAACGATTGATCAAAAGAAGAAAAGACTGGCAAGCCAGGTTACACGAGCTGTTCGTTAGTGACAGACAGGCTGAATACGTAAGTCACTTCATAACACCATCGATCATTATCATCATCACAATCATCATCATTATCATAACCAACACCATTATCATTATCATTTTCACCATTATCATCACCAACATCATCATCATTGTCATCATCATCATTATCATCGTCATCATTATCATCACCATTATCATTTTCATAGCCATCATCATTATCATCATTTTTATCTTCATACGAACCAGTACTAGTCGTTCGTTGCAACTGAATTAAATGTAATACTGTCAACTCTGCAGGAATTACCACCAGTGTATCCCATAATTCCACCTGAAGATCGTAAACCAATCAAAGTTCTTGCTTTATTTGATGGAATAGCTACAGGTGAGACAGACAGACAAAATGACCGACAGACTGAATGAACGAAGAAGGATGGATGAATGGGATGGATGGATGGATGAATGTGATGGATGAAAGGATGAAAGGATGGAAGGGATGGATGGATGGATGGATGGATGGAAAGGATGGATTGATGGATGAATGGGAGAGGATGAAAGCAAATATTAATAAATAAAAACTGATCATTTGTATTATCAATATTTATTAATTGTTAATCATTATTTTTTTCAGGACTGCAAGCCTTGTTAGATCTTGGTATTGAAGTAGACACCTATTACTCGGCAGAGATAGATGAGCAGGCCATACAAGTAGCTAAAGTACAACATGGAGACAAGATTGTCCATCTTGGTGATGTGAAAAACATCACAGAAAAACAGGTACACTCTTATC